TATTTTGCCTGTAAAATAGCAAAACATGAGTCACTGCTGTCTGCAATCAGATAATTAACTAAGGCTCAACATTGTGCATGTTGTAGGCCTAGCTGCTTTGCGCAGTATCCACTGATTTATTATTCTGCTTCCTGCAATGTTGAGACTACAGAGCTGATGGGGGTCGGAAACAAATCTAAGCTCTCTGATGCTTGTTATAAATAATCTCTGCAAAGGGTTGTGGTTTTTTTTTTTAATTGACGTGAGAGAAGGTGTGATTTGCATCTGCAAATTGTGTTGGAACCCCTGCCATCAGTCTGTTCTGCCTCACTTTTTACAGCTGAATTAACAAGAAAACATGCAGAAGAGTTTGGTGCAGAACCAGACTCTAGGCGACCCGCTACCTCCCACTCCCTTCTTTTGCCAGGTTCTTTTGATGTAGTCACCACTGTGCCAGTTCTGTGTGCCAGTGCCCAGGACGGTGCTATGAGACACACTTGCAGGGTGGGGGGTGGAGGGACCCGTGCGGGGGATAAATAGGCGCCCGGGAGCTGCTGGCTGTAGAAAAACAGGAGTGAAAGAGCTGCTTGCTGCCCTGCCAGGGAAACAAATCCCACTTGGGCTGCCAGACACTTGGGTTCTCAGCGAGAAGGGGAGGGGAGTTAGGGCTTTAGATTAGGGATGCCTGGGTTCTACCCCAGTCTGGCTGGTTCCCCGCTGCCTGCCAGCCCTCAGTGTGTGGGGAGCCCTGGGAAGACAGAGCGTGTTGTGTGTGAGAAGGAGAGAGATCACCTTGGTCTGCAGAGTGAGTGTGTGTGAATATCGTTTTACCAATCACTGTTTCCACTCAAATTTTTCATTGACCTCTCTTATGCACACTCATGGCATGACTATTTTGAACTCCTTTTTAAAAAAAATTGCAGCCCAGGTTTACCAAAAAAGAACACGCGCACTCCAGAAATTCCAACGTATGGGCCTGTATTAAGTAAAAATGTCTTGCAAGTCAATTGAGTCCACTGTTAAGTACATAATCAGAAAACCACTTTCCCAACTATTTATGCTATTATTAATCAGCATGTCAGTTATCAATAATATTACATTTTCTTTTCTCAGTCATGCAAATGGGCATTCTTATACCACAACCACCCAGGGAGCAGCCAGACTGTCAAGAACCTGGCAATAAACAGAACAGACAGAACAGCAAATAAACCTTCCATCCTCAACAGCTTTCACCCTATTTCCCCAAAACAAAGAAAGAAAATAGGGCCAAATCCATCACTTACATAAACTCAAAGTTCAGCCATAGAGGCAAGCAAGTTGGATACCAACTTTTTTCTCTGCTGGTCTGGTTGTGTGTGTTTGCACATGCCAAAAACATTTTCCACCCTGGGTGGCAAAATACCTAGGGGCAGCCTTGCTCCATGCATTACCCTAGCATTTAATGGAACTATACAGTATATAAGTTAATGATTAATTAGCCCCATTAAACACAATCTGTTTTATATAAAACCTCTGAGCTCCAACGAACTGCAGGCATTGTTCTGCCAAGTATAGGAATAAACAGATCACAGGGCTGTCAACATTAACAAAGCCACTATGCAGTTTTGATAACAAATGGTACAACTCTTAATGCAAGACAGAGCTTGCCTGGGTCATTTTGTTGTTGTGGCTTCTTAATTTCATTACAGGACAAAAAAGGGGATTAAAAAAACAGAATACAGGCAGTCCCCGGGTTACATGGATCCGACTTACATCGGATCCCTACTTACAAAAGGGGTGAGGCAACCCCGCACTAGCTGCTTCCCCCCCAGCAGACCAGGGAGCCCCCCAGCAGACCAGGGAGACGTGGAGCGGCTTTTCTCAGCAGACACCTCATCTTGAGAATAAAGGACTGAGGGAAGTGAGGTGTGGGAGAATAAAACTGAGCTCTGGAGAAATGTTTGGCTAGAGTTTCCCCTACAATATGTACCAGTTCCGACTTACATACAAATTCAACTTAAGAACAAACCTATAGTCCCTATCTTGTACGTAACCCGGGGACTGCCTGTATAGTAAGCACTAAAAACAGCTGTTGAAATGTAATTCTGGTTACACATCTCCTGGGGTGGAGATGAACAGTACAGCTTAGGGGTGGCTACAAAGGTAGCTTAAAGCTCACACTGTTACCTCCATGATCCTGGTTTTGGTTTTGTGCAGGGCCAGTCTCTCTGAATAGAAGGCTATACTAACAAGTGGCTCTGGGAATTTTAACTGCAGCCAAGGATTGATGTATCGCGGGTTTTCTTTGCCAGTAGGAAAAGGGAATGGTTCAAGACTTTCTACATCAGCTCTATCCCATCAGAGGATGATCCTCCCACTGACATATCTTCCTTGGAAAAACATAAAAAGCAACAAATAGCCTTGCAGCACCTTAGAGACTATATGTTGTTTAAGTTTTTCCAGTTACAGATGAATATGGCTACCTCTCTGATAATCTTCCCTGGTTCACCAACATTGCTATAATGCGAGACTTAGCTTTCCATGTGGCCCCACAGTACCTGCACTGCACTGGAGAATCTGATCTGATATCTTTAACTCATTCAAAAAGTTTAGAAGAACATCTGTAGTAATTAATTGTATCTGAAGGTTAACAAGAAAATTGGGCCACGTAGATATTCTCCAAATGGATAGAAGTAAACAGCGGGGAGAGGGTTTGACTGCTAAACCGTCAATGTTGGAAAACCCTTACACAACAGACTCTGCAGCACAGGCACCATATTTAGTAAGTTGAGTGTTACAATGTTCATGTGGGTGGAAGGGTGAATTACACTGCTCAAAAGATTGCTGCAGGGGAGTCTTGCTTTGAGTTTTGTTGTAGTGGGCTTCTCCCTCCATTTGGAGAGCGTTTGAAAGGGCTCCTTTCCTTTAATTGCCTTTCATTTGGTGGAGTATGGAAGAACCTTCTTGACTCTCTGACTTTTGCCCTGTCTGTCTTCTGGAGTGGACCTGCTGTGATGCTTCCTGGGATACCAGGGGTTGTGATGCACCTCGCTCCAGCTGCCCTTCATATGAGGAAATCTTATCTGTACCTGGTGTGGATCAGCTGCATGACTCCACCAGCCTCTGTGAACACAAGCACTATCCTGCAGGCCTCCTCATTCTCTTTGGATGAGTTAGCAATAAGCACACACCGATCCCCATGTCCTCTGTGCATCTTCCTGCAGTGCTCACCCCCTGCACCACTGAAGACTCATAGAACTCTCAGGTTGGCTACTCCCAAAGGAATAGTTCATGCAAACTTACTAGTTCACCTCAGGATCAGACCTTCACTTAACACACAACACTTAGGTACTTCGATAATGAAAGCAAGTCTGTTAAAAACAAAACAGAGATTCAAATGAGAGTGCAAACTGGAAACAACTGGTTCCATGTAAAATAAAACCATAATATGCTTGCTAGAGCCTATGGACACAAGATGAATAGGCCTGTCTCATATAAAAGAGCTTCCCCAGCTCCTTCTCCCAGAATGACTGAAACCCTATTTCTTAAGAGCAAGTCTGCAGGCAGCTTGTCTTCACATAATGAAGGATGCCTGGTGCACCATGGTACCTCCAGTTTTGTCCCTCAATGTCTGTTGTCTTTACTCATAAATAGGATAACCTTTGCTGGTTTTGTTTTTCCTGGTGCACTCTCAGGGTATGTCTAGACTGCAGTGCTTTACTGCCACGTCCAAGGAATGCCACTTTTCCGGAAAAAAAAATTTGGTATAGCAGACATGTTCTTTCACCATCCCTGTAAACCTCATTTTACAAGGAAAAAGGGATGGCTCAAAAAAGCAGGTTTTTCCGAAGTTTGGCACTACTAGGAAAAAGGGATGGCTCAAAAAAGCAGGCTTTTCCGAAGTTTGGCACTACGTTGTAGTGTAGACGTCAGTCTCTTCCTTAGCATCTGACTCAATATGCAAATACACTTTCTTTGTAAGATTCACAATGGACAACCAAGGAGATAAGTGTCTTTCACCTCCTGTCTGGAGAAGTCTGTCTCAGTGTATGCTACTTCTGAGTAAACAATAAGGCTTTATGAATAGCATTTTCAGTATACATTCATAATGCCTCTCACATCTGCACGTGTTTCACGGTGATTTCATAACTGCTGTAACACAGGCTTTCAGCAAAGACTTGACCTGACCTGTTTTGGTAACTCAAGGGGATCCCTGTATCTCTGTAACCCTGCACCATCTGCTAGTGGACATCAAGAGGTCCTTCGGTCACGCCTTCTATCCAGAGAGGGCCCAATAATTTGACTTGCAAACCTTTCAATATTCTCTAGCCAAATTCATTGAGATTGAGGAAATTGCCTAAAAAATATCAGAGAAATTATGCCTTCCTAGTGATTGCATTATCACCCAGACATACTGATGGGAAGGTTGGAGAGAGGAAAAAGTGCTTTTGTGGCATCCTGTCCACAAACCCCAGAGCGAAAACCCCTCTGTAAAAGACCGGCAATTCATCCTTAACTAATCCTGTAAGTGATACACACAGGGATAATTATACTTTACATGCCATCAGCCCTCAGAATGAGTTAATCTTTCTGATACCTCATTTTTGCGGTTTGTGGTTTTTAATTTTAATTCTATCCGGAAGTAAATAATTCTGTGTAGGGTGTGGCCTTTTTATGTCTCTTTCCCCTGCTATTTCTCAGAAGGCTCCTGGGGTTTCCTTCTGTTCTAGAAAGCATCCATCAGCAGCACTCTGTTTCTCTTTTCTTGCTTTAATTGCTTTTATAATGGAATGCTTTATTTGAGTGTGTGTTGGTAATTGGTGAGATGGGGAAAGGCCACTTGTAACTCAGAACTTCCCTTGATTCAAGAAGTGGCTTAAAGTTGTTACTCATTCCCTGTTTATATGACTCCATTTTAATGGTCAACAGTTCTTGCTGATCTTTTAACAGAAGAATCATGTGGGCAGGGAGATGTTAGTTGCAGTTTGCTGAGTTCACCTTATCTGTTGTAATTCCACAGCCTCATTTCTTTTGTCTTGCAGGAAACGAAGTAGCTGAAAGATGGTACAATGAAATAAAAAATTACAACTTTCAAAACCCGGGGTTTTCTTCTGGGACAGGTGAGCTCAGGCTGGGCACTACTCTTTCAAAGATACAGCTGTTACTTTAAAAAGCTGCTAAATCTGCATTTGTCATTATTTTCAAAAATCTTTTTTTTTTTTTACTTGAAGTAATTTTGCCAAAGACCAATGTTAGAAAAACTGAAATATGACAATAACTGGAAGGATGAAAGGGAAATGAAGAGAGTAAACAAAATGTGTATTAGAAACAGTAAATATAGTTTTTAAAATTTCTCAGTCATTTTCCTGCAACTTTAAGTAATAAAAGGTGTTGATGATGAGGACAAATGTGCTTTATTTTCCCAATTGTGATAATAGAACCAGAGCCAGCCTTAGGAAAAATGGCACTCTGGGTGAATTTGCATTTTGACGCTTCTGGTCCCTGTGGTTGTACTGCTCCTGCATTGTCCCTGGTCCCCTGTGTGCTCTCTAGTCTCTCCACCCACTCTTCCTCACTACCTCTGCACCTCCCTCCCTGCACTGTGCCCCCTTAGCCCCTAATGCCTGCACCTCCCTCTTGTGCCCCAACCCCTATACTGTGCCCCCTTCACTCCTACACCATGAATTCTCCTTGGCCTCATCCTCTGCACCCATCTCTCCTACCCCCATGCCTCTCTTCTGTGCCCCTAATATGCGCACTGTGGGGAAATGACCTGAGCGTAGGGAGCCCTGATGCTGTGTATTGAGGGGAGAGGGAGAGAGACTATGCGTGCCTGAGCATGTTAGTGCACTGTCTCTTTAAGGGAGTACTCAAGGTCAAGGGTAAGGATATTAAATATCGAGTAAGTTACTAGTCGAGTACTCAATGGAATTTCCATTACTACTTGACTAGTCGATAGGCACTTGTGCATTCTTCCTTTGAAATGTACAAGAGCCCCTGATGGGGCTTTTGTACATTTCACAGGAGGAATGTGGAACTCCGGGTGCAGCCTGGGCCAGCGGAAAGTCCCACTGACTCTGGGCTGCATGCAGGTGCCAGCTTTGAAATGTACAAGAGTCCCCAGCAGGGGCTCTTGTGCATTTCAAAGCAGAAGCACAGTGTGGAGCCTGGGGTCAGTGGAGGACTCAGAGTCCCTCACTGACACCAGGCTTCATGAGCCTGGGTGAGCTGGGGACTCCCCAGCGGACCCTCGGCTCCATGCAAACACCGCGGCAGTGTTTCAAAGGGGCAGTGCTGCACAGCTGATCCCGGGCTCAGCTGTGCGGCGCTGCCGCTTTGAAGTACCCCTCTCTGCCCCCCGCCCTTTGCTGCCTATATCTGATAGAGCAGGAAGGGTGGGAGGAATAAACTAGTCGACTTGACTATCCGATAAGCATTTGCTTATCATATAGTCGACTAGTCCTTAACATCCTTAGTCAGGAGCCTGAGGGCTTGTGCTCAGACACAAGCAACAAAAGGCAGCAGCACACACAGATTCTCCCCCCCCCCCCATGCATCTCCCCAGCTCAGAGGGATTGGGAAGGGGGTCACCCCGACATCAGACTCCCCCATCCTTCCGCTGCAGCGGACAGGAGGATGGACCCAGCCCAGAGTGGGCATGGGAGGCTCTGGCGAGGAAGGAGAAAGGCAAGAACAGCAATAGCTGCACATGTAGAGAGGGAGAAGGTGGGTGCCCCTGCTTCAGAGCAGTCAACTGGTTGTCCAGTTGCCCCCTGCAGTGTCTGTCTCCCAACCCCCACCGCTGCTGCTCGCCTCCATCAACCCAGCTGCTTTCAGCAGGTCAGGTTGGGACCCAAATACTGCTCACAATGCCCCCATTCAGCTGTTTTTGTTTTTGCGGTGGGGTGTGTTTTTTTAAGATACTGTGCTGATATCTGCCTTGTTACATATATCTCTCCTCTCATTGATACCAATGAGATGTTATCTAGCGTGTAAACTGCCAGTCAACTTTGGCTCATCAGCTGCCTATTGGCAATTTAGGGTAAGATGAACATACAATTGTTTTTGGAATTGGCAGCAAACAGAGAGAAATTTCATAGTGTTTCATGGGAAAATTTCACTTATCTCCATCTGTAACTGTGCCTAGAGGGAACAGCTGGTAGAGTAGGATTTGAGAGACAGCTACTCTACAACTGGCTAAAAAAAACCCAGGAAATTAGTGCTACACTAATTAACTATTCTGTTTACAATGGAAACACAACAGGAAGGATCAGAACACTGAAGCAAGTGAGGAATAGTCAGTGGTAATATGGTTGATTTGTCAGCCAGATTGTTGGGAGAAAGGGGGCTTGGACATGGTACAATGTGGCCTGTGTACTTGATGTTCATAAAGGCATGGTTGTTTTCATTGATCTGTTTCCATGTATTTGGGTTTTGGAACAGAACAAGGAGTCCTCATGAGTGCAGTGGAGAACCATATCAACTATCTTTCTAAAGACAAAATATTAGATTATCTGCATATTATTTTTCATCCCCTAGGCTTGTTATCCTGTCAGAGAAAGAAACTAAGTTAGTTTGGTATGACTTGTGTTTGCTCAAACACTAGAAAGAATTTTTCAGATTTATTGTTCAAAGTTAATGTGTTTCTTTGACCTTTTTACTTCATAGGTCACTTTACAGCAATGGTTTGGAAGGACACAAAGAAGATGGGAGTTGGAAAAGCCTCAGCAAATGATGGCTCCACATTTGTAGTGGCCAGATACGATCCACCTGGAAATGTAGTAAATCCAGGTTTCTATGAAAAAAATGTTCTTCCTCCAAAGAAATAATAAAAAGGTTTTTGTCAGTTAATAAAAAAATTACTTGTGGACTGAAGATATCTTCAAAATTAAATAAAATCAAGTGATATTCCATGTTTGATACTACCAGTCACTACAAGGCAATAACAGTGCTACTTGAATGAGTCTGTACAGTACATCTATAGAGCTTCTGAGATGTGCATATGCCATCTCCAAAATTTTTATTATGCCAAACATAAAATCATAGAAGATTTGGGTTGGAAGAGATCTCAAGAAGTCATCTAGTCCAAACCTGTTCTCTATGCGGGGCCAACCCCAATTAAATCATCCTAACCAGGGTTTTGTCATGTAAAGGGCAAGAATTTATGTGGATTTTTAATATTTTGTGTAAACTGTGTGTGGCTTTTTTTTTCATGTAAACAAGTTTGTAACTCTTAAACTAAAAATACCACCTTGTAATTATCAGTCACTGCATTCTAGTTTTCCAATATTTTTTAATCCGTACATGTTATTGTTTTAGGATCCAATCCTGCAGTCTTGACACATTCAATACTCCCTTAGACTTCAGTAGGAAATAACATATAGTAAGGGCAGTGGGACCAGATCCATAAATGTGTGTCAAGAGAAAAATCTTTTTAATGCCATCCAAAATACGACAGGTAAAAAAACCACACAAAGCAATCAGCTCTGTAATTAATGTCTGATACAAAAGTTGCCAATGATGTTTATATTCAATTGGCGGATTTTAAATAGTAGCTAAAATACATTTTCAAACTGACTATATTTCCAATTCAAATTCTCCCTTAAATTTACAGTACTTATGTTGCTTTATCATAATGTACCTCAAATTGGAGATTAGTATTAAGTGCACATGTCCTGTTGGTTTCAGTACAAAAAGAACCCCAACGTGTCCCCCTTTTTTCTCTAGCTTCTTGCACTGTCTCTCTCTGACTCACTAAATGTAGCCAGCAAGTTGCCATTTTAGGCCTAATCTAAGGAACTACTAGTTGACTTATCAAAATGTGCTAAACTCTCTTCAAGCCTGTACGTGGGGATGGTGTGTGCGTGAGAGGTGTAAAAGCACACCCCATGGGCTCCCAAGTAAGCATGTTCCGGCTGAACAGGGGAAGGCAGGAGCAGTGCACTGCCCAAGCCTCTGTCCCCCATGCTCTGGTCACCTGGGGGAAGGCTGGGGCTGATTTCCCTGCTTACTTAGGGCAGGTCAAAGGGAGTGCATTCACACCCTGTGGTCCACATTTACAAAAAAAGCACCCTTCCCCCCCCCCCCCAGAAATTCCTGCGTACGGGCCTGCTTTTAGATATCTATTGCCTGACCTTATGCAGGACACTGCCTAGTGGCCTCATGAGCCCATGCAGATATAATTCTTAGTACTGGGGCCCCAGAAGAAGAACTTCACTGAAGCATCTTAGATTTTGCAGTTTTTTTAATGAACTAATTTTTGCTTCTAAATGAATATCAGGTATAGGCATTGTACTAGAAGATCAGTAATGTTCCAGAATCTTATTCTGTTATCTCCTAGCAAACTCCTGTGGTGTGGCATTGGGTATAAATGATGCAACTTTGGTCTGCAGATTTTGAATTTGCACCTTGAAATAATAATAAAATAATAGTTTCCTATGCAGGATGGATGTATTTAAACCACTCAGTGTATTCATGTTGTGTATGACTGTGCTTCGTAAGTATTCCTTTTGACTTCAGTGAGATTCTGTGGGTCTGAATTTGGCCCACAGAGAATACCAGTATTGAAAGGCTTTTTGCTTATACAATTGTGGTGTATGACAATGTTATGGCTTAGTTATGTAGTACTGCATTTTACATTACTTTTTCTGTAACCCATGAATTTTACACTGAAAATGAAAATAAATATTTTCTTACAAATTACGTGTAGGTAATTTAGACTAGTAGTTTCAGTCAATTACTTCAGTCTGTATTAACTAATCCAGAAGCTCTATTTGCAGAATGTTTCAGAATTAATATTATTATAACTTTTGCAATGCAGAGCACAGGAAGAGTATGTGTTTTGATCCAGTAAAGAAAGACGTGTGGGGTGAACCCCCACCCAACAAGCTGTAAATTATATACATTACAAGTATGGCATACCCTGTATATAAGGTTTGAATTAACACGTGCTCCCAAATGAGTGCAAGGTGGCACACACATCAGAAGCAGGCATTACAATGTTTTTATCTATTTATTTATTTTAATATCATACATTGGCCCTGATTTTGGCAAATTTTTACATACAGTGTTTGTAAGTTGCAGACTTTGTGTCCAAGAACTCAGTCTGAGAAATGCTTGAACCAAGCAACTCTAACAAGGCTAATATCTGTACAACACACTATCCTCTCGAGAGGTGAAAATGGAACAACTGTAACAAAATGTTTAGACAAAACTGAGAATTTGAAAAACTAACTTTAATACTTTGCATAAATAAATGCGTGTTATTCTTGCTGATAGCCTGAGAGTAGGTTGTAGTGTCTCTTGAAAAGGGGACTAAATCTGGGAAAACATGGCCACCTATAGATATGTTTGCGTGAATTGTTATGCATCCTAGGCTAGTAAACAACTGTCTAGTGAACTTTGTCTGCCTACTAACAATTTCTTAAATATCATGGAGAACTGGGGGATAAGTACAAGGATAATGGAGAAGATCAAAACGTAGTAGTGATCTTAAAAAAATATAGTGACAAGCCGTTGATCTCTAAATGGCTGTTCAGAAATAGCAGTCTGTCACAGCTTATGTATGCAAAACAGACTCACATTTGAAAAACACATAAAGACATCCACACACGAACTTTAGAGCACAGTCACAGTAAGCCAGTTTCATGTTTACAAAGCAAGTTCTTAGACATGGCTATCAGTTAAGAAATGCCAATTTAGTTCTCAGTGCCCCAAGCATAAGACCGGGAATGACGACACAAGGGCTACATCTACACTGCCTCTTTTTTGCAATTCAAATGAAGCGCTCATTAGCATTTGTTGCATTGTCATTGCATATTCTCTGCTGATGCTTTTTGCGGAAGAGGTTTTCGTACAAAAACAAGCAGTGTAGACTGGTCCGTTTTGCACAAAAAATATGCATTTGCAGAGACTATGCAAATGAAGCACAAGAAGTTGCTAATGAGTGCTTCATTTGCATACTCTGCCAGCAAAAGAGGCAGTGTAGACGTAGCCAAGGATTGTGGACTTAATGTACTTTGTCCACACCCTAAATCCTGGTCCAGGTTTGATTCCATTGAGAATGGAAGCATCATTGGTGAGTTTCTCCCAAAAATAATTGGAGCAATGTATAGCTCTATGACTGAACCCAGGTAGTTGAGGTCAGCTTACATAATGTAAAAACTGGGCAAACCCTCCCCACCTTCTCTTAGTGAGAAACTGACTGCGGTATTGAGAGCATGGGAACAATAGTTAGATGCTGTACTAAAGAAGAGTTGTGTTTAAAATGCTTCTTTCTCTGGCACTATACCTCAAGTTTTGCTGCTATTTTTGTTTTTCGGCCCTGGTCAGTTTCCTTTTGGACGAGGCTGCATTAGAACATAAGAACATAAGAACGGCCGTACTGGGTCAGACCAAAGGTCCTTCTAGCCCAGTATCCTGTCTGCCGACAGTGGCCAGCACCAGGTGCCCCAGAGAGGGTGGACCGAAGATAATGATCAAGCGATTTGTCTCCTGCCATCCCTCTCCAGCCTCTGACAAACAGAGGCCAAGGACACCATTTTATCCCCTGGCTAATAGCCTTTTATGGACCTAACCTCCATGAAATTATCTAGCTTCTCTTTAAACTCTATTATAGTCCTAGCCTTCACAGCCTCCTCTGGCAAGGAGTTCCACAGGTTGACTACATGCTGTGTGAAGAAGAACTTTCTTTTATTAGTTTTAAACCTGCTACCCATTAATTTCATTTGGTGTCCTCTAGTTCTTCTATTATGGGAACTAATAAATAACTTTTCTTTATCCGCCCTCTCCACACCACTTATGATTTTATATACCTCTATCATATCCCCCCTCAGTCTCCTCTTTTCTAAACTGAAAAGTCCCAGTCGCTTTAACCTCTCCTCATATGGGACCCGTTCCAAACCCCTAATCATTTTAGTTGCCCTTTTCTGAACCCTTTCCAAGGCCAAAATATCTTTTTTGAGGTGAGGAGACCACATCTGTACACAGTATTCAAGATGTGGGCATACCATAGTTTTATACAGGGGCAGTAAGATATTCTGGGTCTTATTTTCTATCCCTTTCCTAATAATTGCTAGCATCCTATTTGCCTTTTTGACCGCTGCTGCACACTGCATGGAAGTTTTCAGAGAACTGTCCACGATAACTCCAAGATTTCTTTCCTGATTTGTCATAGCCAAATTAGCCCCCATCATACTGTACGTATAGTTGGGGTTATTTTTCCCGATGTGGATTACTTTACACTTATCCACATTAAATTTCATTTGCTATTTTGTTGCCCAATCACTCAGTTTGGTGAGATCTTCTTGGAGTCCCTCACAGTCTGCTTCTGTCTTGACTATCCTTCTTTCGCTCAAGAAGTTTTGCTGCTATGGGGGTGGGGGAATGTGAGGATTTGAGGGTTTCTCAAAAATCAAAAAGGGGGCATGATGCCGAAAAGTTTGGGAACCACTGTTCTACAACATCTCGCTGTCCATGTAAAGTCACACACTGTGGAGCTGTCGTTGTCACATTGTAATTAGAGCCTAGTTTGTAATATGATGTAGAGCACTGAAACTATGCACACTTCCAGCACTGACTGCCAGTTCATCAAAATCATTTTTATCAACTGCACCAATTTGGAAATTAGCCAGCACAGTTCGGTAGAGCAAACTGATATATTTCTGAACTGATTTCAGGAATTGTTCTGTTAGCTGATACTTGGCTTGTCAGAGATGAGTAATCCGTCCATCATGGCTGAAATTAGAACCACACACTTCAAGTACATCCCAAGCTTTCATTTCTGTCATGTTTGGCATCATTAGAGTTTCAAGATTTTAAATATTTTTAGCTTCTGTACAAATCTTCATTTACTACCAGACATTGTAAAACCAATTATGTAGAAATACCTGGCATTTTCATTTTAAATAGAAATCATGTTCTCTATAGAACAATCTGGAATGTGGCAGAATGAAATGGGAACAGCTTATACCTGATCTCTTGATTAACAGAGAAACAATTGCTTTTATATTTTGCTTGTATAAACTAGGGCTCCTCCCTCACCTAGAGACTCTGACAAGGACAAAACTATGAATAAGATGACAGCTTGAGGGCCTTTCAACCTTGAGGGCATGGTGGGACACGGGGGTCTATGGTGTCTGGCTTCCCCCCCTGCCTTTGTGAAAAGAACCCATGCCAGTGAGGGGAGAGGAGAAGAGAAGAACCAATCAGAAAGAATCACAGAATCATAGGGTTGGCAGAGACCTCAAGAGCATGAGTTGGTGCAGCTGGGGTTGAGGGAGGCAGGCCCCCAGTCTCCCCTACAGCTCCATCACCTCTGGTGAGACCCCAGCACCCATGGGAGGGCAGGAGGTGGGGCAATGTGTCTAGCACACCACCCATTAGGGGAGGAGACGGGGCAATGTGCTAAGCACATCCCAGCTTGCCTGGAGCACCGGGGAGGGGCAGAGAAGCAGGGCAGTATGACGAGTGCATCCCAGCCTCCTCGGAGAATAGATGTCTGGTGGCTTAGGTGCCGCGCGGAAGCAGGGTCAGATGGGCATTTCTGTGGAACCCGGGGTCAGCTGTGGTGGCATTTCAAAGGGGCAGCACAGCATAGTTGATCTTGGGCTGTGTGCAGTGTTGCCCCTTTGAAACTCTGCCACAGAATTTCAAAGTGGACGCACTGCATGGAGCTCAGTGTGGTGCTGCCGTTTTGAAGTACCCCCTCTTCCTGCCCCCTCTATCTGATAGAGGCAACAAGGGGAGGGAAACCCGGGGTCAGCTGTGGTGGCATTTCAAAGGGGCAGCACAGCATAGTTGATCTTGGGCTGTGTGCAGTGTTGCCCCTTTGAAACTCTGCCACAGAATTTCAAAGTGGACGCACTGCATGGAGCTCAGTGTGGTGCTGCCGTTTTGAAGTACCCCCTCTTCCTGCCCCCTCTATCTGATAGAGGCAACAAGGGGAGGGAAAAGGGACTAGGGCAGTGGTCCCCAATGCGGCGCCCGCCG